AGGGGCGACAACGCCAGGCAGAGGTGGGCGGGGTGGGGGTGGGCCATCATGTCCTGGAGGGGGGTGTGGGTGGCAGTCCCCTCTGGGTCTGCAATCAGAGGAAGTCATGTCACTTGGTTTCTTCATTCATGCTCCGCCCCTCTGGGTACATCACAACTTCCTGACCCCACAGGTGAGACTGGGGACGGAAGGGTGGCAGATGGGAGGAGCGTCCTCTGCAGATCAAGGCACAGGTCCACACTGTCCTCCCTTCTAGAGAGTTCCAGAGACCTGAACTCTTCTCAGTCATCTGGGGACTCCGTGGGGTAAGATACTGCTCAAGGTCACACATGTGGAGGTGTTGGAACCAGAGGCCGCCCCCCAAACTGCATGCCTCCGGAGCCCACGTTAGTCCAGTACGCTGCCAAAGAGCAGGGCTGATGACAAAATGCTTCTACCCTTTCTCGCTCTCACACTGCTGGTGGGAGGGGTGGGACTCCTGTCCCCAGGGAAGGGGTGGGAACTGCAGGGCAGAGAGAAGGGAGGGCCGAGGGCAGCTGCCCTTGAAGGGTGCCCGTGCCGGCTGGTTGCAGGAAAAGGCTTACATCAGAGCAGGAGGGACAGTGAGCCACGAAGACCTCACCCCGACAATCAGGAGGGTTGAAGGCGGGGACTGGGAGACTGGAAGCAGCCGTGGCATCTCGAGCTTCACTGCTGTCCAGGAAGGGGACAGATGTCTGCCCCTCTGGGTGGAGGAGAGGGTGTCTGCCGGCTCGGAGACTGGTGCCTGGGCCTCCAGCTGGGGATACACCGTCTGCCTCAGGCTCTGTGGACCCTGCGTGAGGGGGCATGCGCACCGCCCTCTCTGGGCGTGGACCTGGTCTCGGGCGCTGTGGTGGCGCTGACCTGCTTCTCAGAGCACGGCCCCTGCTTCCTTTCCCTTACTTCCTCTGCTCTGTGCCAGGCAAAGAGCTGCCTGTCCCCGAGTGGTCTCCTTGCCCACCTGCCAGGACTGTCTCCTCTGGCCCAGTCTTTCCTGATTCTGAAGGCACTTCCTGCCCCATCCAGGGCAGTGGCCTCTTCCCCACTCTCAGGACCCCCCATGGCTCGCCGTGTGGGTGCATAGCAACCTGGGGCTATCCCTTCCCCGGGTAAGAGCGTGGGGCGCCTGGGGTGGACCTGATGCTCTGGTCTGTGGGGTCAGAGATGGCAGGAAGCCCCTCCCTCCCCTGCATCCTGAGGGATTCTCTGCCTGCCCTGGCAGCACCAGGGAGAGCTCTCCATTCTACGGTGAGCACCGACCTATCTGCAGCTCCAGGCAGGCACGGCAGAGCCCTGGCAGCTGGTGACATGTGGCCAGGAAGCCTGAGCAGGTTAACCACAGCATGGGGCCAGGGTGCTCGGGGGGTGGGGGACAGCTGCTGTCCCTCCGTGAGCCTTGCTGCCCACCAGTTCCAGGCATGTGCAGAGCAGTCCGGGCCCCCAAGCCCAGGCTCTAGGCTCTGATGCCCCAGATCTGTGACCTTGTGTGAGCTGCCTCCACTTCCAGGCCTCAGTACCCCCTTCTGTAAAGCGAACAGGGTGACAGTGAGTGTTTCTCAAGCCTCCTTGGTCACTTTTTAAAATACAGACTCCTGGGTCCTCCTTCCTTTACTGGGTGCCAGGGGTAACCTTGGGACCCATGTTTGAGAAGAGGTGGGAGGAGGTCTGCTAGTTCCTTCCAACTCCAGTGTAGGTGATGGAACTCTTGGGACTGCCTAGCCCAGTCCTTCCCGTCTACGTCCGAATCTGGGGCCCTCTAAAGGCCCGGGGTGTCTTCTCTTCTGCCTTGTGCTTTCTGCCCACTCATTCCTCCAGCCCCGTGACCCCACTTTCGCCGGCACCCACTGGAAAAGCAGGTGGAGGAATAGGGCGGGGGTGAGGGTAGCAGAAACACCAGGAGGGCAGACTCGTGCATCTGCCCAAGGTCCCCCTCACACACTGTGTGTGATAGCCAAGGCTGAGCCAAACATGGTGAAGTGAGTTAGGGTACACCTGGACAGTGCGGCCTGGCGCAAGTGGGGAGAATGCAGGTGCCCTTCATGTGCTGGGTGGACCGGTCGCCAAGTCAGACGGTTCTCTGAGAGGCAGTCTCCAACATGGAGGGTAACATGCCACATTCGGGGAAAACAACAAAAGAATATATGTACATTTACTCGTAGATGAGAGAGAGCCTCTGGAAGGAGGCTTAAGAAGCTGGTAAAATGGTCGCCTCTGGAGAGGAAGCCCAGTGGCTGAGGACAGAGGTGAGGGGGACTCTTTAGGCATTCCCATTTGTACCTTTTGAATTATGAATCACGTGTAAGCAGTGTCTACTCAAAAACACTTAAATTTTTAAAAGGATCTCCATGCCCTTTTTGTGCCTGACAGAGGCTGCCAGTGTCCCCTTGCTCGGCCCTCCCTCGAGGATGGCTGCTCACGTCTTCCAGCCGGCAGCTCCGGCTCCCGGGTTGGGTCTCCCCTTGCCCGGCCGGGCACCAC